CACACGAGTGCACGCTCAGACAGTGCCCTTTGGCGCCTAGCCAAAGCAAAACAGTCTTTTTTCCATGTCAGCCACGCCATTTTTCACAGTTTTGTTTTTGCTGTCGTGTTTCTGGGCGATTCATAAAGCAGAGAACGCTCGGGGCCATAAATATGATAAAAATTCAATATGTAAGCAAATTTTCCCACCATTTATCGCCTTTTGAGGAGCGGAGCGCTGGTCTTGTCGATCTTTCGAAGGCGTACATAACGATCCACGCATATGACGCCATTTGCGCTCCAGCTCCACTCCAGGGCCTGAAACACTTATGATAAGACGTGCTCGCTATCAATGATTAATCCTCATTGTGAACTGATAGCGCGATCCGGCCAAAGGATAGTGAGGTTCGGTGGGAGCAGCATAAAGGCAGTGATCACGACCAGTGGAGGGCAGTGCAATTTTGATGATGTCATTGAACGTCACTGGTGAAATAGGTCCTTAGCGCGTTGGGAATGTGGTTGGCACGCCTCTTAGTGCCCTTCCACAAATAACGTTCCAAGAGCTTATCGCTCACCAGCCATCGAGATCACTGCCTACAGCCGCTTCTAAATGGGCTAAATAGTAATAAAGTGGAAGCACGTTGGGAAACAATGAAGCTTGAAATCGCGCCAGAAACATCAGGCCGAGCATTCCGTATAAGGTACACTTCAGTCGGCAACTGACCATGAGAGGTGCACTGAGTGTGAGAGGTCTGCCGATTGAATACGATCACCTCACTTCACTGCAAGTCACTTTCAAAGCCTAAAATTAGTTTGAGCCGTGGTTGCGCCAAGCCCTGTACAACCTGACTTAAAGACAGTGGATCGATGGCCAGGAGGCGGAGCGATTTTGATCGTTGAGCTTTGGTGGAAGGACGTAGAGATGCGATCATAGCCGCAGTTCCCAGAGCGCCCAATGTTCTGGTCCACGAGTAACATCCTATGGAGTCTTCGCTTTACCGTTCGGCCATCACGTTCGCTGGCTTTTATTGGACAAGCTGACCGCTTTTGATTTCAGCAGGGCTACCCCTTTGAACGAGCAACTCCACTTCACCTTAAAGCGGCCCAACCCCTTTCTGAGCACGATCTTCTTCTTTGAAATGTTAACCTGATAAACATACCTGAAAAGGACAACTGCTGCGCCACTTGGTTCCACACATGACTTTTGTAGTCGGACATTTTATGAAGTGGATGGCACCTAAAATAATAATGAAGTGGTAGTAGTAGAAAAACTGTAGTGTTGAACACTTTGAGAATTCAAAATTTTACTGCAGATCTAAGCATCATTTGAGATA